CATTGATTGTGAGTGTTGGAGGAAATATAGATCTATGGAGTCAAACCTTTTCCGTGTATTTTGGAACTGCTCAGAGTTGCGTCAGTACTGGTCACGTGATTGTAATGACGTCATGGCACCAACCGTTTCTAACAAAAAATGAAAATATATAAAAATGTCAAATATTGTTGAACATGCACTATATCTCTTTTTCTGTACTCTGGCTCCAGCCCCAAGTTTCTCTTCTGGGCAAGAACAAGAAAGTTTCATTAAAAAGGCCTGCAAGATTAATCATGATCAAATCAGGCTCCTTTTTTTTTTTACTTAATAACTTCCTCCATAAACGAAAACAAAATTCCAGTCTTATTCTGTCTAAAAACTGTTAACCCTGTAGTTTAGATCTATACAAACATGTTCTGAAATGTGATTCTTTTGTTTGTTTTAGGTCATTTTTCGGTATTTTTGTCAGTTTTTCTGGAAGCGTTTCAAATCTGAACTTTGAACAGAATGCCATTATTAAAGGTGCAATATGTAACTTTTTCATTTTGGTATCTGTCACCTGCTTGTTTCTATGGGTATGTCTGGAATGTTCCACAGTATGACATTAAACAGCTCTACCTTACATTTATTCAATTACAGGTGGTTTTATAACTCAAAAATCCAGAGAAAAACAGACATTCTGACTATGAGCGGGGTCGCCTCTCCACAGATCTGACCTGTAATTTGGTCTGGCTTGGTCTCCATACAGATAAAAAGATTTAATACCATACTGGCCATACCCGCCTGTCAAAGCCTGATCCCAGCAGATCTCAGAAGCTAAGCAGGGCCGGGCCTGGTCAGTACTTGAGACCTGGGAGACCACTGGGAAAATCAGGTGCCACAGTAGGGCGCAAGTCACTGTGTCCTTAGGCAAGACACTTCACCCACATTGCCTAGTATGAAAGTGGTGTGTGTATGAGTGATGGTGGTGGTCAGAGGGGCTGATGGTGCAGATTGGCGGCCTCGCTTCCGTCAGTCTGCCCCAGGGCAGCTGTGGCTACAATAGTAGCTTACCACCACTGAGTATTGAGTGAATGAATAATGAAAAAGTATAGCGCTTTGGCTATCTTAAAAGGAGCAATATAAATGCTATGATTAATTAATAATTAATACTGTGAAACATTCCAGACAATGCAATAACATCTCCATAGAGAAAAGTATGGAAGCCTTGGAGGACCTCATCAAATACAAATGTGAAAACAGAACAAAAAGCCATAACAAACCAAAAAGCCACAACAGAAGTGACCCCGGGACTCTATTTTAATGCAAACGCCGCAACACATCAAAAAAGCCACAACAAACCTAAAAGCCATAATGGAAGTGACCGCAGACAAAGCGAAGCATTAAAGGATCAAGTGGGAAGTGAAAGGGAAAAGTTGAAGAAGAACAAGAATGTGAAAAGTAAAGGAACAGAGAAGTGAACGAAGTTGGAAACGTAAGTAAAAGTAATTTATTGTTTTGTGGCCAGGATCAATGTCACTGTCTGACCGTCGCTTGGTCCATCGGAAAATAGAGCCCTGCGGTCACTTCTGTTGTGGCTTTTTGGTTTGTTGTAGCTTTTTCGGTGTGTTGTGGCTTTTCTTCATTTGTTGTGGATTTTTGTTGTGTTGTGGCATTTTTATGTGTTGTGGCGTTTGCATTAAAATAGAATCCCGCAGTCACTTCCGTTGTGGCTTTTTTTTTGTGTGTTGTGGCTTTTTTTTGGTTTGTTGTGGCTTTTTTGTTGTGTTGTGGTGTTTGCATTTGTGTTGTTTGTATTTTTTGTGGCATTTGCATTAAAATAGAGTCACGCAGTTACTTCCGTTGTGGCTTTTTAAAAAAATGTGTTGTGGCTTTTTAAAAATTTATTGTGGCTTTTTCTTGTGTTGTCGCATTTGTACTTGTTGCGGCGTTTGCGTTTTTTATGAGCCCTTCCGGCTTACGCAGAAAAGCATTTGACGGACCCTCCGCCGAAAAAGTCACACAATGCACCTTTTAATCTCATATCTGAACGTAATGGCAGTGCTTGTCAGAAAAAAAAAAAGCAATTCAATATATAATAATACTTTTTTTTTTTCTCCAAATCATGCAGCCGTACCAGGAACTGCAAAATTTCACAAGTGTCTATAAGAAAGTGAAAGCAAGAAGTGATGTAACTCATGTCCATGTCTGAACCAGCACAAATTATTTTCCAAAAAGTGCATTCATTATAAAAGAATTAAAAAAAAACAAACCAAAAAGTCAGTCGCACTAAACTTAAAGAGCGCTTCAGACTCTCCAATGCTCGCAAGATCACTTAAATTACAAAGACATTTACACATTACACACATGAAGAAAGCCAGCTGGGACCGCCGCTCTGCTCCAGGCCAAGTCCATGTGACAAACTGTATTCATTATTTTTATGAATTTTAGAACAGCAGACATTTTAATTTAACACATTTTTATTAGTTCGGATAGCCAGGAGACTCAGAGGAAACAAGGGTAATTATTTTTTAATTGAGTGCAATATAGTATCTGCGAATGTGTTTTGTGTCATTAAATCACAACCGTTTTATTTTGTATCTACAATGCAAAAAAGTCGTGTTCCAAAGAAAGAAAAGAGCCTCGTGTTTCCGTTGAATCTCAGCGGGTTTAGCTCCACCAACGTGAAGGTCAACAGTTCAAACCCCGCTCAGGCCGGGGCGTACTACTGTAGTGTTCTTGGGCAAGACACTTCACCCACCTGGTCTCGTATGAACATAGTGTGTATCGGTATCAATATGACTATTCTGATTCAGTACAAATTGGTTATACAAATGAACATAATGCAAATTTTAGGGCTAATATTCTGTGTATTTGAACCAGAACCGGAACCAAAACAATGAATAGATCGGCCTAGCAGCAGGTTAGAAATAGACCCTGTGTCGAGTGTTCAGTTTGTCTTTTGGAGCTTATTTGAAACCCTTTTGTACACATATATTCATTGAAATATCTTTTACCCATAAGTTTCGACCAGTATTGAGTATGTGTATCAAAATTTACCCCTGAAAGTACTTGGTATTGTCGATAAACATACTTGTGGTACCGTTCCTCTCTAGTGATAGGTGGTGGTCAGAAGGATCTATGGCGCAGATTGGCAGTTCTGGCTATAGAATTATCGTATTTTTTGGACTATAAGTTGCACTTTTTTTCATGGTTTAGGAGGGACTTATACTCCGGTGCGACTTATATCTTAAAATTTTCAGACTGACAGGCGCGAGAGGGCGCTCTAGGCTTGTTGTATCAGTTTTCTGCGAGTCTTCTACAGAAAAAGCCGCTGTCCTGCTGCAAGTCGTGAAATATGCAGCAGAAAACGGTAATCGAGCAGCAGAAAGAAAGTTTGGAGTGAGCGAGACTGGTGGAAAGCGGGGATAAAGAACACAGCTTCACGGCAACCGGGAGGGTGCACCGTGCAACTTTCCTGGAAGTCACTGAATGGATCAACAAAGCCTTTACTTCGGAGTTGCTCAGAAGTGACACCGAGCCTGAAGAATTCACTGGACTCAATGGACTTAGTGATCTGGAGTGAGATCAAGAGTTTGGTAAACTTATATTATGGTGTTTATGCTATATTTATGTTTTTGTAAATGTACGAACACGGTGACAGGTCCAATTTCGATTCCTTTGTATGTTTTGTACGTGTGAAGAAACTGACAAATAAAGGCATTCATTCATTCATTCAGTTTAGGACCTCATTAGTTTAAGTTCAAAATATAATAACTCGGGGCTGTTGGAATAAAGAATACTTAACGAATAAATATCTGAACACGAATCAAATTTTTGCAATCTTTAAAGTAAAACTGCATATGATTTTTTTTTCTAGCTCAAACGATTTCTCAAAATATACATCCGCAGCTGCTCCTCTGACACCCAGACTTTCTAATAGCGTACGGAAGGTCAGCCATGGAGAAAATTTGAGCTCCGGTAGTGTGATATTCGTCGGTAGTGTTAGTTCGATACGGCCTATTTATTATTGCAATGCCACGCTCTTTTGGTCTGCACCCAATTTGTTCATAAAAATACTCGCATACAGTTTGCAGAGGACTTGACCTTGAAAATTCCAGAGCTAACCATTGACGTAGAGAGTGGGGTAATCCAAAAGCCAATGAAACCCTCTTGGCTCTTTGGTACTTGTTAAAATGGCTAAAACACATACTCTTAATGTACAACAGTAACAACATTATAATTTGCAGAAAAAATTACACTTATTTTTTTTTCTTTTCTCGCGTTTTGCTTCTGATTGCGTCCTCCAAAATCCGTCGGGATAGTCAAGGCTTGATTGCAATTAGAAACAGCTTTAGAAAAAACTCCCCGAAAAATTAGCGGAAAAAAAAAAAAGAAAAAGAAAGAAAGAAAAAGAGATAGACACATAGAAAACAACTTCGTCAAGAGTTTGAGTCCTGAAAATGCCACAGGCGTCCAACTGTATTTATTTTTTCCGGCGTATGGAGTCTTCAAATCTCCACTTATCTGAGGCACATTAGATCCAAGCCTTTGTTCAGTTTCCATTTGAAAAAAAAAAATTAAATAAAATACTCCAAATAAATGAGGCGGCATGTATGGAACCCAGATATCTTATAAATTATACAAGCAGTTGTTAGCAGAGTGGTTAACGCTACTCCGATGTAGTCCTTGAATATTCATGGCTCACTTTTGAAAGAGTCTCGAAGTGTTCTTTTCTGTTTTTATCGTTGCCATGGCGTTCCAAACTCGGACATAATTATTCATATGGAGTGTTTATAAGACGTTTCCGAATAGGCTCCGCCGTCCGCCACAGCTGTGCGTCGCTATTTATGGCACAGTAAAGCGGGATGAACTGCAGTAAAGCTGAGGATGATTTAAGCCGGAGAAAAGGAAAAATCGTATAAAAAACGAAACAAAAACAAAAAAACGGTCATATTATTACGAGTTGGTTTTCACGTCTGTAAAGATCCTGATTTCTGCATATGTTGTCCTTCGTGGTTCCGGGTTAGTTCCGTTTGGGGCTAGTGGATGGTGGCCAGTTCACCCAGCCAGGCACCGGGGAGAGGGCGTGGACATGTGTACTCAGTCTGCAACGACAAGAAGAGAAACAAAGAAAGACAGAGTTAAAGCTACTTTGTGTAACATTCTGGAGATAAAATGTCACCTGCAAGATTAACAAAACAGACTTCGAACATTCAACATGGGGATAGATGCCAGAGTCCTGCATAGTCGCTGAAACGAGTGGGTTTTAACGTTCTGGAATTATACGAGCGAGTAGTGATTACACTTGAGCTGGTTCAGTCCTGGTTTAGTCCTGGTTTAGACCTGGTCCAGTCCTGGTTTTGTCCTGGTTTAGACCTGGTTTAGTCCTGCTTTAGTAAATGTTTAGTCCTGGTTTAGTCCTGATTTAGACCTGGTTTAATCCTGGTTTAGTCCTGGTTTAGTCCTGGTTTAGACCTGGGTTAGTCCTGATTTAGACGTGGTTCAGTCCTGGTTTAGTCCTGATTTAGACCTGGTTTAATCCTGGTTAAGTCCTGATTCAGTCCTGGTTTAGACCTGATTTAGTCCTGGTTCAGCCCTGGTTTAGTCCTGGTTTAGTTCTGGTTTAGACCTAGTTCAGTCCTGGTTTAGTCCTGGCTTAGTCCTGGTTCAGTCCTGATTTAGTCCTGGTTTAGTAATGGTTTAGTCCTGGTTTATACCTGGTTTAGTCCTGATTTAGATGTTGTTCAGTCTTGGTTTAGTCCTGATTTAGTCCTGGTTCAGCACTGGTTTAGTCCTGGTTTAGTTCTGGTTTAGACCTAGTTCAGTCCTGGTCTAGTCCTGGCTTAGTCCTGGTTAAGTCCCAGTTTAGTCCTGGTTTAGACCTAGTTCAGTCCTGATTTATTCCTGGTTAAGTCCTGGTTTAGACCTGGTTTACTCTTGGTTTAGTCCTGATTTAGACCTGGTTTAGTCCTGGTTAAGTCCTGATTCAGTCCTGGTTTAGACCTGATTTAGTCCTGGTTCAGTCCTGGTTTACACCTGGTTCAATCCTGATTTAGTCCTGGTTTAGACTTGGTTTAGTCCTGGTTCAGTACTGGTTTGAGTCTGTTTTTAGTCCTGGGTTTAGTCCTGGGTTAATAAAATCTCCACGGAGAAAAGCAGCTTTAAAGTTCATGTGGCAGATTTTTGGATTCTCTAATTTTGACTTAATTTTGTTGGATTCTAACTATTGAAAATATAAATTACAGTTTTAGAGAAATCAATAAGCAATTTGTGAAGAAAAGTTGAGAAATGCATTGAAAATTAGAAAAGTAGAGAGTTCTAAAGATACCGATGACATCACATTGAGGAGAATTATATCCAAAAGTTACCAAAATTTTACACTTAAATACTTTTTTATATACTTTGTGCACAATTTCAACAAAATAAAGGTGTTTTCTTATATTTGTATTTGTCAGATAATAATTTCTGTGTACATTAGATGAGTTTTGCTAGGTAACAGAAGTTCCCTAGTGTGATGTCACAATTTCCAACCAAGAAGTAAAATTCTTAACCTAAAAAAGCTGCGAAATTGGAAAAATGACTGTGAATGTTTTTACGTTTTTAAGCAAAAATCATAAATATAATAATTTTAACTGTGTTTTAGTAAAATGAGAATAAATCCCACAAATAAACCTGTACACATAAACCGCCTCGTCTGAATCTAGCAGCGTGAACTGTAAATATGTAAAAAGTAAATGTATGCAGTGACTAATACTGAAGGGGGATATAGTTTTATTTACTGATTGATTGAATGAATGGTTCTATTAAAGGTTGTATGGAGGATTTTTTTGTTTTGTTTCAAATTGTCAATGATAGATTATAGAGATACAATAGCCTTGTAATTATGATGACCAAAAAAAAAGAATAAAAATTCATCAACTCTGGACGTGGTGGGACCAGCTAAACATTTGCCAATAGATAAAGAGACTGCCTCGTTTTCTGTTACGTGGTTTACGTACGCCTGTCACGCAGTCCACAGACGCAAGACGCACAGACGCTGTTTACTCCACCAACGCAACAGTTCTTAGCGGCTTTTTTTGACCTATATCTTCCTCGCAGTTAGCACAAAGTTTGTTGCAATGGCGACAAGAATCCAGGAGCAGTTCGCCGCAAAAGAAAGTCCTGTTTTTGAGGTCGCTGAAAGAAGAAGACAAGGGGAAAAGCAGCGAAGCCAAACTAAGGTGATTCTTGGAGATTCATTCCAGCGATGGCGCGACTGAAGCAGACGCAGGGTCTAAAGACTGACGCACTGGTCGCCAAATTACTCCTGGACAGGTCACTTCTACTTATTATGAAAACGTACTCTATTTCCAAGAGCTAGACAAATGTTTTTCATGACACGAATGCGATATCCTATGTCTGAAAACGTAATTTTCAATGCAAAGAAAGAGTCCGCTTGCTGCTGCGTGTTGTAGTAGTAGCTTCATTCGCACGGAATCTCCACGCACCCTTCTCTGCACCCCTTCCTGCTCCTCTTCCCGCTCCCCGTCCCGCTCTTCCCCCTGCTCCTCACTTCTCCACCTTGCCTAACCAACACTGTAGTTAGTTGTTTACAAGTCATGTGCAGCGATGAGGACTTGTTTTCTAGAAACAAACCTGTTTCTGGTGTAAGGAGGAGGCGGGAGGAGGCTCATTCCTTTCTCATTCCTTGGAAAATCCTCTATACAACCTTTAAAGGTGCACTGTGTAACATTTCTAGTGGAGGGATCGCCATCTGCTTGTCTCCATGGAGATGTCGTTGCTTTGTCTGGAATGTCCTGGTGTGGCATTAAATGTATCCATCTTGCATTTACTTAACATGTTTTTTTATTGACTTAAAAATTTGCATTCTTACTGGGAGTGGGCTCGCCTCTCCACAGATCTGTAACTTACCTGCTGTCTCCAGAGAGATAAATAAGTGTAATGTCATACTGTGGAACATTCCAGGCATTAACTCCATGGAGAGAAGCTGGTGATGGATCCTCCGCCAAAAGCTCCACAGTGCACCTTTACTGCACATTGTGTTTTATTGGCCTGTGTGCCAGCAGAGCGGTCAGCTGCTGCTGTGGACACTTCACTCACACACTGAGCAGATTTTGGAACTTTTAACATCACACCATGGGATTTTACCCCATTAAAAAGTACAACATGTGCAGTTCAAAGGACACAAGTAGGGACCGTTCGATTTTGTGAAATGAGCTGTTTGTTTTTCCTGTATCCATGGAGACTGTGCAAAATCTAGCTGTGGACATTTGAGATGCTACAGGTTTTTTACACCATGATGACAAATGTGACAGATCTTCCAGAGGAAATACTTGGAGAGAATGGACCATTTTGTCCAAAGCAGAGTGAGGTCTTTCCTGTTGTGTTCACCTGGCTCCTCCTGGACACTGCTGTGATGCTGCAGGACACAGAGGAGTGTCACTCTTCCTCTTTCCAAACTGACCTGACACAGATCTGCTGACCCAACCTGACCAGTCGTCCTGTTGAACTGACCTCACACCTTTGACACAAACACCACTGACACACACAGTGTGAATGTTGCACCAAAACTAACTCCAACACTTTAAACAGTTTCAACAGTTTAAACAGTTTCAACAGTTTAAACAGTTTCAACAGTTTCAACAGTTTAAACAGTTTCAACAGTTTCAACAGTTTCAACAGTTTACTGCAGCAAAACTTTCATTTTCCTCAGAATTAATAAGGTCTCTCGCTTTCTCTCTCTCTCCCCTTCTCTGTCTCGCTCGCTCTCGCTCTCTCTCTCTCTCGCTCTCTCTCTCTCTCTTCTCTCTGTCTCTCTCTCTCTCTCTCTGGGCAGGGTTTAATGCTCAGGTGTTTGTGTGTGGGCTCAGGTACTCTGTGAGGAAGTAGGAGGGGCCAGCTCCTGAGCTTCCTGATAGGACAGGCCAAGATGTCTGTGTACCTGAGCAGGAGGAGGCTGCAGACTCAGAGCTGGTCAGTGTGAGACATCTGTTTGTTAGGATGGTGCAGGCCAGGCTCAGGCTGGAGTTTGGCCTCTACTCCATGAACAACGATGAGGAAGGATTTGAGGAGCGCTGGGGCTTTGGGGGGGTGTTGGCCTCTGTTAAGGAGGGGCACCTCTGTTTTGGACCCCTGTTTTTGTAAATATTGAAATAGTGTAATAGTGTAAATAATGTAAATAGTATGTGTAAGTAATGTCAATATTTTTATGTAAATAGCACGAGGTGTGGATGCAATTTAGTGTAAATGTTTTTGACAACACAATAAAGGTCTGTTAAAAATCAAAAAATCAAAATCAAATCTCTCTCTCTCTCTCTCCCCCTTCTCTGTCTCGCTCGCTCTCTCTCTCTCTCGCTCTCTCTCTCTCTCTCTCTCTCTCTCTCTCACTTTCTCTCGCTCTCTCTCTCTCTCACTTTCTCTCTCTCTCTCTCTCTCTCTCTCTCCCCTTCTCTGTCTCGCTCGCTCTCTCTCTCTCTCTTTCTCTCGCTCTCTCTCTCTCTCGCTTTCTCTCTCTCTCTCTCTCTCTCCCCTTCTCTGTCTCGCTCTCTCTCTCTCTCTCTCACTTTCTCTCGCTCTCTCTCTCTCTCTCGCTTTCTCTCTCTCTCTCTCTCTCTCTCTCCCCTTCTCTGTCTCGCTCGCTCTCTCTCTCTCTCGCTTTCTCTCTCTCTCTCTCTCTCTCCCCTTCTCTGTCTCTCTCTCTCTCTCTCTCTCTCTCACTTTCTCTCGCTCCTCTCCTCTCTCTCACTTTCTCTCTCTCTCTCTCTCTCTCACTTTCTCTCACTCTCTCTCTCTCTCTCTCACTCACTTTCTCTCTCTCTGTCTCTCACTTTCTCTCTGTCTCTCTCTCTCGCTTTCTCTCACTTTCTCTCTCTGTCTCTCACTTTCTCTCGCTCTCTGTCTCTCTCTCTCTCTCGCTTTCTCTATTTCTCTCTCTCTCTCTTTCTCTCTCTCTCTCTCTCTCTCTGTCTCACTTTCTCTCGCTCGCTCACTCACTTTCTCTCTCTCTCTCTTTCTCTCTCTCTCGCTTTCTCGCTCACTTTCTCTCTCTCTCTTTCTCTCTGTCTCTCTCTCTCGCTTTCTCTCACTCACTTTCTCACTCTCTCTC